CCATTCACATTGGGTATGATAAGGCTTCTTAAGATTGACACAGATCCAATATTGGTCAGTTGAATGAATGAGTGGAAATTCTTAAGACTGACATAGCCCCTGTATTTGCCTATGTCTAATTGCAGAAGTATCCATGAAATGAAAGCCTGGGTTTCTGCCTACTGGCGTTGCTGATAAATGAACCCAGTGTTGAGACTGAACTTTATTCATTTACAGTACATCAAACCCATTGCATTTAGGCATATTGCCTGCATTAGACAGAATATACTATACGATTAAATGATTTGAATGTGGGTAAAGAAATACTTCTGATTAAAGCTTACATGACATAAAAGTTGTAAAACATTTGCAGACTATTTTTATAGTGACATATTTAATAGTAATTTCAGAATCACTAGCTACTACAATTGTGATTTATACTGTTGCTATAGACAGTACAGCGAGAGTCCTGCAGCAGCTGTTTCTTTCCAAGCTGTTGTTGCTATCTTTTCTGCTCCTAAGGGAGAGCAAAAGTAACTTCATTAAAGAGAGAGATGTAAAACATACCACAATGCAGCTACTATGAAACCAAAACATACATTCTCTTTCAAATATGTAGTGAAATCATGATTTAAAATAGTACCAAGGGACAGAGTTCAAATTAAGAGAAAATCCACCAATATTTGATTACTTTTCAGGATGCATAAGGTTGATATTCAGAAGTGCTTATTAAAAACAATTATGAGTTGCCAGATGGGAAACTTACAGTAACTAGAGTGAATGAAAGAAATGATGAAATAAAGAACTCAACAGGAGATTGCCGAGAACGACACGGGAAGACAAAGTGAAATGTAATGAAACACACATGCTAACACCTGACGTTAGCAAATGAACAGGGAAAAAGAACACACATGGCGTTTCTCAAGCTGAAAGAGCTGAAGAAAAATACTCAAGCTTTGAATTGCCACAGTGAGCGATTTTGTGGGCCAAATACTGAACACTGTAGGGAGCATGGAAAGAAGAACGAAGGAGTGCAAGGAGCACAATGAAGTGGTTGATGTTATGGTATTTTAGGGTGTAGCATAAATTGAGAACTAATGATACTGAAGCACGACGTCCAACTTGCACTGAAGACTTTGGCAAAGGTCAAGGCTGTAGAAATTGATGAGACACCATGAGATGTCTCATGTCAAATGGTGCCATGCTTTAAGTACAGATTTGTCTATGTCAAGAAATGCAGAAGATGATGACCTGGACAACAGAATACAATGAATATCTATGTCCACTGCAAAGAATGGTGATCCAACATAATTTGAAAATTGTTAATATTATTAATATCACACACAAGAAAATAGTTTCTGAAGATTTAAAAATCAGTTGCACCAGTATATCAAAAGAGCAAGGGCAGGAATTCAAGCTGGATCCAGAAGAGGACATGTGACAGCAGGTATCCTGACTGATGTCAAGTGAGTCCTGACTGACAGAGAATCCTAGATAGATGTGCACCTGTGTTTTATTGACTATGTAAAGGCATTCATAAAAATTGTGGATGACATTGTGAGGAATGGGAACTCCAGAATATCTGTGACCTTTCAGACCTGAAACCTATGTATAGGCCAAGAGACAGCTGTTGGAACAGAACAAGGGGATGCTGTGTGGTTTGAAATCAGGAACATTGTGCATCAGGGTCATACCCTGTTGCCACCTTTATTCCATTTACCTGCTGAACATATAACCCAAGAATCTGGTTTACATGAAGAATTCAGCACCATGACTGAAGATTCATTGACAGCCAGCAATACACAGATGATGCAACCTTGCTTGCAGAAAGGGAGAAGACTTTAAGCACTTGTAAAAATAACTATATCCCTCATTATGAATTTTAGATTATACTTTAATATAAAGAAAGCAAAAATCCTCACAACCGGACAAATAAGTGATACCATGGTAAATAGGAAAAGACTGAGATTGCCAAGAGTTTCATTTTACTTGACTCACACTCGGTGCCTGTAGAAGCAGCAACCAATAAATTAAATGATGTATTGCATTAGGTAAATCTGCTGCAACGGACCTTTAAAAAATATTGTCAAGAAAAGATGTCTCTTAGAGGACTAAGGTGTGTGTGACCCAGACCAGGACCCTGTCAGCCACCTCAAATGCATGCAGATGCTGGACGATGACTAACGCAGAGAGAAGAGCCGGTGCCTTTGCAGTATGAGACCGGTGAAGAATTTTAAATATGCTGTGGAATGCCAGGAGAATATGCAGAGCTGCCTTGGAGAAAGTACAGCCAGACTATTCCTCAGAAGTGAGGATGGCAAGACTTTGTATTAGGCTCTTTGGATAGTTTATCAGCAAGGACCAGTCCCTAAGGAAGGACCTTATGCTTGGTAAAGTCGAACCAAAACACCATATCAAGCTCACTGCCATACAGTGAATAATGCTGACTCATAGGGACCCTATAGGACAAGGTA